CAGTAAAATCAATGTGACTTGGGCATAGTTGACTTAAAAAATCATTTAATGTCATATCCATGAAATGGGGGGGGGGGGGCTTTTGTCCACCTTGTCATTTTTAGATGGGGGGGGGGGGGGGCTTTTGTCTGTATCCCTTGATTTGGTCACTAAATTATGGATTTAAAATTCATTTCATGTCATATCCATAATTGTGATTTTGTCACTAAATCATGCATTTAATATTCATGTCATGTCATATCCATGATTGTGATTTTGTCACTAAATCATGCATTTAATATTCATGTCATGTCATATCCATAATTGTGATTTCGTCACTAAATCATGCATTTAATATTCATGTCATGTCATATCCATGATTGTGATTTGGTCACTAAATCATGCATTTAATATTCATGTCATGTCATATCAATGATTGTGATTTGGTCACTAAATGATGCATTTAAAAATTCATTTCATGTCATATCCATGATTGTGATTTGGTCACTATATGATGCATTTAAAAATTCATTTCATGTCATATCCATGATTGTGATTTGGTCACTAAATGATGGATTTAAAATTCATTTTCATGTCATATCCATGATTGTGATTTGGTCACTATATGATGCATTTAAAAATTCATTTCATGTCATATCCATGATTGTGATTTGGTCACTAAATGATGGATTTAAAAATTCATTTCATGTCATATCCATGATTGTGATTTGGTCACTAAATGATGGATTTAAAAATTCATTTCATGTCATATCCATGATTGTGATTTGATCACTAAATGATGGATTTAAAATTCATTTTAATGTCATATCCATGATTGTGATTTGGTCACTATATGATGCATTTAAAAATTCATTTCATGTCATATCCATGATTGTGATTTGGTCACTAAATGATGGATTTAAAAATTCATTTCATGTCATATCCATGATTGTGATTTGGTCACTAAATGATGGATTTAAAAATTCATTTCATGTCATATCCATGACTAAATGATGCATTTAAAAATTCATTTCATGTCATTAGAATAAGTAAATGGAATGCTAAAGTAAGAAAATATCTAAATCAGAAAATCGTGCAAGAAGAGATACTTAACAAATTTTAATTAAATGACATTAAAGTGCTTTAAGATTAGGTCACCTGACTGTTAATTTCATGGACAATAAATATAGGCAAACACAGACAGAATATTCTGTGATATAATGCATTTACAGATAATTAAATGTGGATATTTTAGTACCTAGCATCCAGTAGCTATGGTAACCGTTTGTTATAACCAGCGATCTAAAATTATAGCACTTTGTTATATTAATGATAACCTACAATTCTCTCCTAATTAATTATTTTAGTCAACAGTCGGATTTATTGAATCCAGTTTTAACTTGTTTTGCATAAAAGAATATACATGTATATATAAATATCATAATCATAAATCATTAACAATGTTTTGCTGATTAATTATACATGAAAATATTTTTTTCATTCTTGGTTGTTATAAGTCTTACATTAAACACTAGCCATAATGGTTTTATGGTAACATTGCCAGCATAACTATTTAAGGAAGACTTCAGTTGCATAATTGTGACCTCAGGTGTACCATAATTGTAACCTTAGGTGCACCAATTCTGTGTCCAGTGATTTGCAAGCTTTAAACCACTCAGCGATGTCCTTTTTTTAATTTTTTGGAATTTATAATTATCTCTGACTTTAATTAATTTGGTGCTTTTAAGTTTTGTGATGAGCAATATTTTTCACCTCTTTAGAAGAGGGTTACAAATGTATAAATAAGATTTATATTTTGTCAATTCATTTCAAATACTTAAAACATTTAAAATGTGTCAACATATACTCGAAACTTGATAAATTATAGATTAAAGGGATTTTGTGTGTACTTATTTAGACCAGAAAATAAGTGTTATAAGCTCACATAAGGTGAAACTGGGAAGAGGACGTGTTTCTTGCTTACACTCCAGATGATAAAATTTTCTTTAAACTGTAATGAAATCCAGAAAAAAAAATACTATTGTATATTACGCAAAAAAAGTAGCTGTCAGAATATGTAGCTGTCGCCAGTGTATTTTTAAGGCTTTCACTTCCAGTATTATGGTTGTAACAAAGATTTGTGTGATAATAATAAATGTCTTTGTCAAGTGATTTTTGCATACAATTTCTGCACAGATTTGTGATGATGGGAAAATTCCAATCGTAATATCTTTAAACATAATTTCAAAAATTTAATAGTTTTCTTAAATTTTGTTTGTCAGTTGACATATTAATTGGACATGATTGTAAAAGTATAAACATTACATTAATACTTGCCTCACATAAATACTTGGGTGATTTTTATACTTCCTGCTTTCAGCCTAAACATGTTAGATCTAAAGATATGTGCAGGAAAAAAACCTACTTTTTCCTTAAGTTATGACAGTAGTTTTGAGTAAATTTTCACATCACTAAGGTTGATTTAATGACATTATAAAAAGAAGTTTGAATTTATGATAAGATAAAGTTGGTCTTGTATGATCCTTCTTGGGTGAGTGGCCATAATTGCTGGTAGACATGTACTTTTCCATGGCAGAGTGATAGCCAAATCCATCAAGACTAAAAGATAGTGATAGCTGTATCCTTTGTCACTAATTGATAGCTTGGTCTTCAGTTGTCATGTGATAGCTGGAACCTTTGAATGATTGCTGGGGCCTTTGAGGCCATATAGCTGGGTCCTCCATGGTAGTGATAGCCAGGTCCTCTGAGGCCAAGTGATTATAGTCACTAAATTTGAATCACTTAACCCTGCTTGTTTTGAAAGGCTGTTTGTTACACTGAGGGGTCAGCTGAATCAAAAATTAATGCACAGACATACCATTGCAAGGTCTTTTTCCCCTCTATCAAAAAGTTTGAAAATGTATAACCAACAATATAGCCATCTTGTTACAAGTTACAAAAATGCAAACTCCATATAAAAAAATCCACATTTTTAGCTCGACTATTCGATAAGAATAAGTAGAGCTATTGCAGTCACCCGAGCGTCGGCGTCAGTGTCGGCGTCTGCGTCGGCGTAACCACTTATGTTAAAGTTTTTGTAATAGTTCAAATATTTTCAAAGTCCATTGACATATGGCTTTGAAACTTTGCACACTTGTTCACCATCATGACCCCAACCTGTAGACAGGAGGAGGTAACTCTATCAAGCATTTTAACAGAATTATGCCCCTTTTTCGACTTAGAATTTATGTTAAAGTTTTTGTAATAGTTCAAATATTTTCAAAGTCTATTGACATATGGCTTTGAAACTTTGCACACTTGTTCACCATCATGACCCCAACCTGTAGACAGGAGGAGGTAACTCTATCAAGCATTTTAACAGAATTATGCCCCTTTTTCGACTTAGAATTTATGTTAAAGTTTTTGTAATAGTTCAAATATTTTCAAAGTCCATTGACATATGGCTTTGAAACTTTGCACACTTGTTCACCATCATGACCCCAACCTGTAGACAGGAGGAGGTAACTCTATCAAGCATTTTGACAGAATTATGCCCCTTTTTCGACTTAGAATTTATGTTAAAGTTTTTGTAATACCTCAAATATTTTCAAAGTTCATTGACATATGGCTTTGAAACTTTGCACACTTGTTCAACATCATGACCCCAACCTGTAAACAGGAGGAGGTAACTCTATCAAGCATTTTGACAGAATTATGCCCCCTTTTCGACTTAGAATTTATGTTAAAGTTTTTGTAATACCTCAAATATTTTCAAAGTTCATAGACATATGGCTTTGAAACTTTGCACACTTGTTCACCATCATTATCCCATCCTGTAAACAGGAGGAGGTAACTGTATCAAGCATTTTTTTTTACTATCAAGCACTAAGAATAATAGAGCGTTGCTGTCCTACCGACAGCTCTTGTTTCTTACTTCTAAGATTGTATTTGATTTATATTTCCATACAATATTGTGATTTATTTGAAGGTTCTAAGTATAATGTTGAATCTGTTCTAAATATAAAGTTTTATCATGTTCACATATGTTGCCTTATGTCTGAAGAAGATAAGTGAATTATGTTTGAAAATTGTACGTGTCAATCTTAAAGGCCATAAACTTTCTGTTACTGGCATATCCTTAAAGAGTTTCCCTCCTGCTTTGATTCAATTCCAAAAAGCTGGAGTATACTTAAAGCAATCTTTATAGATCAGCTACTTCACAGTGTCGCCATACTTAAAGCTTGGCGTGAATATTGCAAATTAAATGTCAGTCAGAAGGATTTTAGCCTTATCAGCAGATTTTGAAATATCAAGTGACATTTAGACCGAGTGAAGAACACTGTCCTCAGTGAATTACCTGTATATACTATATAAAATCCCTCTTATCAACCTGTACAAGAGGTTGTTGAAAGAAAATCAGGACATTAAAGTTTTGTTGTTTATGTTTTATGGTTTATCTATATAAGGTAGCTTGATGTACCAAATTGACCTTATATACCTGACCTTGTAGGAATCATATTAAGCTATTAGTATAGGGACAAGCCAGCCTGCACTTATATGCAGTCTTAAAAAAGTCTAAAGTATACTGTTGGTAGCTCAATTTTTGTATTATAAAGGCCCAATATGCCCAAGAACTGCTATCTTTTTTATGAATATAAATTCTATAAATATGAATTTCTGAGGCATGTCATGTGCCTTTAATGTTCAAATCCATGGACTTTTCTGAATTAAAAGCAGGGCAAATTCATGAATCATAGTTTGTTTTTCCTCACAAATTTCAAAGTTTTTCTTGCATATATTACTTTTACCACTTTTATTTAAACAGTATATATTAATGTATATTGATTTTGATAAAAAGGTTGAGGCTTATATGGAATAACTTAAAGTACTACTGGTGCTCTAGTGCTAAATTTATTAGTTTATGCATACCCTTTTCATGTATTATTTGTCACTTTATAATTTGTTATTTGTACTTACTTATTTAAACCAATCATCATACATTTCTTTTGTTTTCTTTACAGTTATGCTATATCAGACGAGGCGTACAGATCTATGCGTGACCGCAACTTGGACCAATGTATCATAATATCCGGTGAAAGTGGTGCTGGTAAAACAGGTACAGTGTACATAATGTTACATGTACATCATTTAAACTTACCAGTTTTACAGTCTAATGCTGACCATGACCTATAACTCTTGCAGAAATTTGTACTGAATAACTTACAGAATTCCTAGAGCAAGATTTAATTCTTTAATTACTGAGGGTATTCCCTTGATTTTATAAGCATGTTTTCGGGATCATAATTGTATGACACTGTCCGAGACAATTAACTGTGGCACAAATAATCGCTGTATAATAGACCATTTTGAAACTTCATCATTAGTATGTGACACATACCCAGAACTTATATAATATCCCAAACCATTTAAATATTCATTTAGATCATCACACATGACTTCAGGGTAGTCTTACAGGTGATCAACCAAGACCTTTAACTCTAGCATTGATTTTCAATGCAGTTTAGTTATTGCCCTTTATGAACTTGAACAAATTCTTATGTTACCCATCACAGAACATTCTAGTGTGCTGTTGTGTGCAGGGACTTTTGAAAATTCATTTTGATTGGACTTTTAATATTCAGTACATTTTACCTTAAGTATCTATTCCCCTTCCTCCTCCTTTACTATTGGCCATTTAATTACCATTTTTACATACTTTTCCTCCAAAATAGACTTGACATCAGGTTCCTTATTCCATTTTGCCCAGACACCGAGCTATTTTCTTTGGACACTTTTCCATTGTTTTGATAAAATGCGGCAATTATTTTTGTTGTTTGCCTATTTTGAAAGTGTTTTCTAATATTCTCAAAAAACAATTACCAAACAAAATAGATTTTCCCCTATACTCAACTAGTAGTAGTGGAGTTTTGGGGGATACAGTTTTATTTGAATTGTTAGGTTTACGCAGTATATGTATGAACAAAACTTAAGTAATGTGTGAGGTCATGACCTGAGCTTGTATGATTAACTGTATCTATATAAGGATTAACTTTGTGAGCTACTGTATTAGCTTATCACAACATGCTTTTAACTCCCTTAATCTGGTTAAAGTAACTGCACTGGGTTATAATTTTCTCAAAGATGACTCAATGTACAAATAAATAGATTGAAAGAGTTTGCTTCTGATCTATATATCTAATAACTGTTAATCTGTATGTCTGTTAATCTGTTTGTCTGTTCATCTGTCTGTTAGTCTGCTGATAAGTCAGTAGTTATTGTCCAATCTTGCTTATTGGTGGTCTTATTATACTCTCATTACTGAATTGATAAAGATTCATTAAAATTGAATTGCATGTAGATGTACTTATAAATTGGAACATTCCATTAGTAATTTTATGTACTTCACTATCAAAATACATGTACTGATTTTGAAAAGTCAAAGGTATGAAATAACTGAAAGAACTTTTCAGGTAAGACTTAATATATAAGACCAATTTTCAGCTTCATGTCACAACATTTTGTATGTAAAATTATTATATTATATTTATAGAGGCAAGTAAAGTGATAATGCAGTATGTTGCTCAAGTATCTGGTAAAGGGAGAGAAATTGATCGGGTAAAGGAACAGCTTCTACAGTCAAACCCCGTACTAGAAGGTAATTACTGGAGTTGTAATAATGTAAATTATTAATTTTTATCTGTAGGGGGTTCCATTCACTCATTGTTACTAGCCCATCTTGAAGTTTATTTGCTTGAAACACAAAAAAGTTAGTGCACTGTAAAATGCATTAAATGTCATTTAAATGTACAAAAAGCTTATAACAGTAAGATGTATTATGATATTAATATAGAGTTGAGTTTAAAGTAGATCATAAATGAATGAAAGTAAACAATAAATACCATCCATGAGAGTTGTTCTTATCAAATATCAACTTCAAACCACATGTTTTTTACCACTGTAGGTATGAGCTGCACAAGTAGCGTCCAACTTTACATGTGAGAAAGCTGTCCAGCTAGCTTACGGAATGTTGGTGGTTCTACTCGGGTGCCCATTTAGGCCTGAAATAATGTTCAGAAGGGCACCTGAGGTCTTCCTCCACCAGTAAAGATGGAAAGTCGCCATATGACCTATACTGTGTTGGTGCAATGTAAACCAAACCAAAAAAAGCAAATATTAACCATACAAATAACTTTATAGAACAGAACAGAAACTTTATTTCTTGGTTTAAGCATAAAAAGCTCATCACCATATTACAAATACAACATATAATACATAAATCTAAAGTATAGGCTATGTGCTTAAAATAGAACTAAAACTCCATTTTTAGATTGATTCTCTCATATACTCCTTTTTTAACGTGAGCATTTCAAATGCTTGAGATCTTATATCATAGCAGTGAGTATAAAGTTTAAAGTGATTATCTTTTATTTCAGCGTTTGGTAATGCGAAGACTTTAAGAAACGACAACTCTTCAAGATTTGTAAGTATTGGATTTCGTACTATACATTGGCTCTATTTCTGATGACAAAGGCTTATCACTGTCCAGCAAATTTAGGGTATTAAAACAATGTTCTGTATTCAAAACAAGACAAGTCCATTACAAAAATTGCAGGGTATGGGTTAATCTTTGTAACAATGATTCTTGCAAAAGAAATCAAATTTTGTTTGTTCTCTAGAGTTATTTGATGAATAGTTTTTAAATTTTCTGTCCTTACAATAGTTCTTTAGAATTAATAGATGAATGGTCTTTAAATTTTCTTTATTTACAATAGCAAAACAATTTTACAAGAATAAAATTTACTTTAAAGTTCAGAATTTTGAATTATATCATATCAAGGGCGTGTACAAAATGGGTTTTATTTTCAGGGAAAGTATATGGACATAGAGTTTGATTTCAAGGGAGATCCTATTGGAGGTGTTATCACCAATTGTAAGTTACATCTTTATAACACATATTTATTGTAATTTTAAGACCTAATGTTGTGCAACATATCTCTAATTGTGTGGCTAATTAATGGTAAACAATAGATTTATTCACTTACATTAGATTAAATGGCCATTGCCTTTTGTTCACTAAAAGAAAATATACGAACAGGGCCTCCAATTCATTTTGGGTAGAATGTTTGTCCGTCAGTCTGTCTGAAGTTGTGAGCAGATCATCAATTTGGTATTCTTTCATGCACTAATTTTGAAAATCATAGAGAAAAGGTGAAGGTCACATGTAGAAACTTTCACAGGTGTTTCTATGTAATATTATATCTTCTTTCACTATTTTTAGAAATTGGTTATTCAAGAAGCCAAAAGATTGACATAATACTTGAGGGCCTTGGTAAAAAATACTGCCATATGACTTAACATTTGCCTCACATAAAAAAAGATTATTTGTGACCATTTTAAATTGTGGAAGAAATTCAGTTTAGTTCTTGTTCACCCCTTTTATAACTATTTTACTGCCAGTGAATTTGTGGTTTGAAGTATCATGTATTAACTATATATAGCATAGTAGATTTAATTGATTATGTAGGGGGAAAAATCCAGAGCTTGAACTGCCTCAAACCGGTTTAAAATTCTCTTACGTGACTGAAAGTATCATTTGACTTTTCAAACATGCTTACTTGTGCTGTAATTAATTGTGAATTATGAACACTATATTACCTTGCCAGCTCATTATTTTTGAATTTATATACTAAAATATAAAATTACATACTAAACATGAAATTTATTTTTGATTTTTATTTGCTTTTCTAATTTCAGATTTATTAGAAAAGGTAAGCTTTGAACTAAAATTTTATCTTTCTATGAGAAGAGATGTAATTTATATAATTATCCACGTCTCGGCCCTTCGGTCTTTTGAGCGAGTTCTGCTGGGGTCACAGCTATATATTCTCATATGACACCAGTACTGATTAGAAGTACTGGTTAGTACTGGGAAGTTGACTTGAGAGTGGTTAAAGGAACTCCACTGAGGTCTGATTTGAGTGAAAAGCTTTGCAATGTTTTTCAATTTTGGGTCATTTCGGCAATTAAAATAATTGTTGGGATTAAAATAATTATTCTGGAAAAACAGAGAGAGGAAATGATCTGAAATTTTGTCTAGTAGTTATTAGTCTAAACTACATCAAAAAGGAGATTGATCTTGAAAAATTAGTTCATAAAAAACCTCTGTGGAGTCCCTTTAAGATAATTTAAAAGATTTTTTCACTGTTTAACTTATATTAATAATATATAAACTGAGGTTATTCATGAAATATGAAACTGTATAAATAGATGTCTGGAAATAAGAATACTGTGTCAAGGTTTTGCAATAGTATTTTAATCAATGGTTTTTGAAAAGATTACAATATACATGTATATGATATATATTGAAGCCCAAGATGCTTCAAGATTTTGTAATGATACAAACCATTACAAAACATGATGCAAACCATACACTTATATATTTTTTTAATTCATTAAATTTATTGATTGTCTTAGTTAAATAATGAAATAGTTTCTAATTATCTTAGTTAAGTTAAATAATGAAATATTTTCTTACTATGAATATGTAAATGCAGTAAATGTTATTTTGTGATATTACAGTCAAGAGTGGCATCACAGATACCTGGGGAGAGAAACTTCCACATTTTCTACCAGTTACTGGCTGGGGCTGATCCAACTTTCTTAGGTAAGGTCTTGATATGACATCATTTGTCAGCTTACTTTGTCAATTGCTGACAAATTGTGTTTCTGACAATCTGTGTTTAGACAACTGCAAGATTTTCATTGTTTTGTCTTATATGCTTTAATACATTTTAGCTTTTTTCAAACATTTGCATTTCTTTCTATCTTTAAGTAGTGAGTTCCATTTCTCAATCAATAAAAACAGAAATACATGATCATATGTCTGCAAATGCTGTGTTAAACAGACATACACAAATGAAAGACTGATATTAAAATTTATTCATATTTTTAGTGTATGGACATTTGACTCTTTTTAGCACACATTTTGCACTTATAATAAAAATTCAAGTGTCAGTTGGGTTAGTATCAAAAGTCTTTTACACTTAAGGGGTAAACAAGTTTTCTGAAATATGATAAAATATCTATGAGATTTAAGTATATCATGATTTAAGAAACATATTTAGCATTCATTTCTGTAAAGAACTATTTTTAACCAGGTTTTCAACGAAACCGGGTTATTGTAATGCCGAAGTCGGCGGGCGGGCAGGGCGGCGTGGCGGGCGGGCGGGCAGGGTGTCAACTTTTGGTTTCCGCTCAATAACTTTAGTTTGCTTTGGCCTATTGACACCAAACTTGGTGTGTAGGTAGCTTATATCAAGAGGCAGCTTGGGATTGCTACCCAGGTGTCTGTGATCAAAGGTCAAGGTCACTGTTACTAAAAATAGAAATTCAGTTTCGCTCAATAACTTGAGTTTTTGCTTTGACCTATTGACACCAAACTTGGTGTATGGATAGCTTATATCAAGAGGCAGCTTGGGATTGCTACCAAGGTGTCTGTGATCAAGGTCAAGGTCACTGTTACTAAAATAGAAATTCATTTTTCGGCTCAATAACTTAAGTTTGGTTTGGCCAATTGACACCAAACTTGGTGTATGGATAGCTTTTATCAAGAGGCAGCTTGGGATTGCTATCCAGGTGTGCTGTTGTCAAGGTCACTGTTTCTGCTCAGTAACTTGAGTTTGCTTTGGCCTATTGACACCAAACTTGGTGAATGGATAGGTTATATCAAGAGGCAGCTTGGGATTGCTATCCAGGTGTCTGTGATCAAGGTCAAGGTCACTGTTACTAAAAATAGAAATTCAGTTTCTGCTCAAAAACTTGAGTTTGCTTTGGCCTAATGACACCAAACTTGATGAATGGGTAGCTTATATCAAGAGGCAGCTTGGGATTGCTACCCAGGTGTCTGTGATCAAGGTTAATGTACATGTATTTAGTTTTCATGTTATAACTTGAGTTTGCTTTGACCTTTTGACACCAAACTTGCTAAGTGGCAGCTTTGGATTGCCACTAAGATATCTGGGAGTAAGTTCAAGGTCATTTGCTTTCAATAGAATTTTCAGCTTCTACTCAATAACTTCAGTGCTTTTCGACTTATTGATTGCTGTCACATCAAAACTTGGTCGTTGAAAACCTGGTTTTCGTCGCATTGCTGCGCTTCTTGTTTTGGGTAAATTTTTCCTAGATATCATAATAACATGTTACTTAGTTACTAAATATGCAATTAAATGTTCAACATAAATGTCATTTTCATGCTATTACTCTACATTTTTAAAAAAGTATTCTATAAATATGGTTTCCTCCTGAAAAAGTTGCATATTAAATTGTTTATATATATTAAATCATACAGTGTAGGTGTTAAAGTTTACATGGAACTCTCTTAGGATATAGAGCTACCATGAGAGGAAAATTTAATAATTTTTGTATCATAAAAACTGGTTGAAGAGGAGTTTTCATGAAGATTAATGTTATGATTAAACAATTTTATATCGATTATAGAAATATGAAAATATGAAAAAATATTCAATATCATTTATTTGAAATGAACATTTATAGCATGTTATATTTTAATTTAGCATCGTGATAGCTTAGTTTATTGATCAAATAGGTTGTTCATTCTTAATTTCAACTGTTTCAAGTCCTTGGCATGGCATATAAGTTACCATGGGGATATGTTTGAAGATAAATATTTATTTTGCCAATTTTTCTCCACCATATCTATGAGAAGAAGTTGTCAGTTAAGGTACTGGTACAGAATCCAGGAACCCACGTTAGGTAACTGTCTGCTGGTATGTGTGGCAGTATTATTGTTACATGAAGCAGTGGCATAGTGTTAAAGTAGTTAAAATAAACTATAAGCTTTTTATTTTTATAATCAAGCTTAAATAATTTTAAATTTGTTATTATATCATTGTTACAAATCATTATCATATGAACAACAAGCTTAGAAAATATTAACATGTAATGTCAGCTTTTAATAATTGAATGAATGATTGTTGTTGTTGTTTTTTTCTTCAAAATGCTAGGATCATTTAGTTGGATAGCATTGGTATTAAAGCATGGGAATATATCACTCATATATCCATCCGTCCGTCCATCTTATGTTACACCTAAAGGGTGGCTATATATACAATATTGCACAGTCAGGAGGTCAATATGGAGAATGATAATCATTATTTAGTGATGTCAGTCATCAGAAAATGTTTAACTGTTCTTGAGACTATTTGCTCACTGGCAATAGGAAATGTAACATTTTGAGCAAAATGGTCAAATAAAATGGCAGCATATTTCGAGAAATTGTCTCTCGTCTTACTAGCTACATTTGCCAGTACTTTTTACACCATGCCTGTTTTATAAGAATTGTTTTCATTTGGAATACTGCAAGTTCAACCTTGATAAATAAAATTGTCTATGTTTGAACTAAATGGCAACATAGATTGTCGACAAACATTACGTTTCTTAGTTCATATGTTAAATTTTTTTTTAATTAATTTACCTTTGAATAAGGCTGACATCCGAGGATTTCTAAGGATTAGTGTTAATATGGCCACCCTGAAGTGTTCCACTATTATATCATATAATTTAACAATGTCTCCCATCAGTGTATATATATATATTATATATAATTATAAATACAGCATGCATTATTTCTCCCAGCGGTATTTATGTAGAATTAAAGCACAGACACATTATTTCTGCACAGCTAGATCAATACTATGTTTTACCCAGATCATTAATATTCTGTAATATGAATATCAAATTCATATTCTATAATGGATATCAGATTCACTTTATGTTTAGCTCATGTTTTCATATTATATATCAGATCTATTTCACTTTACACATACCTATTGGTGATAATAATGTTTTAAACACAGGACTATATTTTACATTATAATACTGCATATTTGTAATATTCAATTTTCATTGGATAATCTTAAGGGCGATATTTCCCATATTCACAGCTGTGAACACAAGTGAAAGAATTGAGAAGTATTATAAAATTGGTTTATAAAGATTTTGAAACAGTTATATGACCATGTGTATGAGGTTGTTTGCTATACAGTCTATAACTGGTAAAATGGGATTTCAGTAACAAAATAGAAACATTGGTTAGCCAACAGTGTTACCCAGATGAGGCCTCAAAACAAAACAAATCAAAAATATTGGTTAGCCAACAGTATAGAGCCTGGTCAGACTGAATTGATGTGCATGATGGCCTGGTACTATACTGTTATTGGCATAGGTCTGATTTTATGGTTATAAGAACTTACAGGGTTAACAACGAATATTTATAATGTGTTATATTTGTGTATGTCTTAGCTAGAGTAGGCTAATAAAACTAAATATAGATTAATTACTGATTAATGTATTGCATAACTTTATTTCATAATGACTGAACTATTGTTTTTGATATTATTATAACATCTACATGTATCTTAACATTTGTCTCTATATATAATATGTTAATAATTATAAAAGTGTATGAAAATTCCATATAAATATACATTTCTGGGTCATGACAAATCATTTGGTTTTGCTTTATGATTATATATACTTGTTGATTTAATAACAGATCATTCAGTTTTACAACAACATACTGTACTTTCGGTTATATTTTTTATTTCAGTTGTTGACATAATATTTCAGAATCTAATTAAAATGAGCCGCGTTACGACAAAACCAACATAATGTGATTGCAACCAGCATGGATCCAGACCAGCCTGCGCATCCGCACAGTCTGATCAGGATTCATGCTGTTCGCTTACAGACCCTATAACAAGTAAAGAAACTGATAGCGAACAGTATGGATCCTGATCAGACTGCGCGGAAGCGCAGGCTGGTCTGGATCCATACTGGTGGCAAACCCATTATGTTGGTTTTGTCGTGACGGGACTCAAATGTATTAATTTACATTGAGTAACTGAAGGTATAGAAATTTCTAGGGTTCATTATTGTAAATCAGTGTTGAGAATTAATGTTTGTCACAATAGATTTGTTAAATTTCACCCAAATTTTGAATGTATATATCAATAGCTCACTTATGCACATAAAAAATTTAATTGTATTTTATAATGATGAAGAATTATGTATATAAATATATATAAAGTAACTTTTTTCTTTACTTGCGTAAGATTTGAGTGCAAAGATTCTAATGGTTGTAGTGGTGTCATATGCTGATATTAATTTAGTCATTTGAATCATAATTTAAGTTTCGTCATATTGTACATTTTGAATATGTCATGTTCATCTTGAAGACTTTACAAGATATTCACAATGTGTAAATCATATAGTCACTGTATTGTACTAATGGTTGATGTGTTTTCATTACCTCACAGAAACATTGAAGCTGTCCCCCAAACCAGAGAGTTATGGTTTCCTGAACAAGAGTGGTTGTATAACAGTGGACACCATTGATGATGCCAGAGAATTTAACCTAGTCAAGGTAATTAAGTCTTTTGTTACTACCTACAGTCGTTTTCTCATTTAACATGGAAAAGGCCTGAGCCTCTTGATTTTGAAAAAAAGTATCGCTTACGTTGCTTATTAGGGATGTAAGTTCAGATTTTGGGAAATCTGCATGATTTTACAAATAGCTTTCATTTGGGAGAGCCCTTTTAAAGGTCTCTGTTATATATGGTGAAAAAGTATCAATGGTCTTTTATCAGTGTTATGGATATTAAGTTGAAAGTTTAAAGTAAGTCATTAAACAACAGTATACTTTTGGCAAAGGTTAATCACTTTTGGCTACGTAAGTCTTGATACAAGCCTGTGCCCCCAGTATAAAATCAGTGTCGGAGGTTAAATTTCAAACTTAGATCTCAGGCACATAATTGGTCAGAAATCAGCACAAAGTCTACTCTAACCAGTGGAAATCCTGAAATTTGAGATGGAGCTCCGAAAAATGTTTATAACCTTGAGGCCAGGAAATTTAACATAAAAAAATATGTAGACATCTGTTTATTTGTGCATATTACATCCAGAGTTAATTAGTTGTATGTCTGAATTATTTGTGAAATCTTAATCTAATCTTTCCAGAAATGTATATCAAACAAATTTGAGCAATCTAAGCATATAAATGTTTTGTTAAGAAATTATCAACATATATAAATTATTCTGAAAAATGAAAATTTTATGAGAGCCATGTGTGTATTAATGTTTGAGACTAGCAAAAGTTGAATGGAAAATTTTCTGTTTTCTCATTTATACAGACTGGTATGGAAGTGATAGGATTTTACCGAGCGGAGATAAACGAAGTATTCCAACTGGTGGCAAGCGTATTGAAGTTAGGGAACGTAGAGTTTTCACATCGTAGTAACTCTGATGGTACCGACGGCTGTGATATAGCCAGTACTCAAGGTATAGTTATGATAAAATTGAGAATAACAGAATCCCTATAGAACGCACAAAAGGCCAAGTTAATTGAGATATACTGAAAATCATCTGTGACTATCAATATTTACCAAAAATCAACTGTAAGTTCATATTTACAAAAAAGACATCTGTAACTATTGGTATTTACCATAACTCATCTGTAACTATAGATATTTACCATAAATCAATTGTAATGATTTAGGTAGTCATGTTATTATCCAAGCTTTGCAAAAAGTTATTTACTGATAATTATTTTTTTACATTGTAGAGCTGGAGGATGTTGCTAAAATTCTAGGCTGTATGGAACAAAATCTTAAAAGTGCTCTAACACAAAGAACTGTAGAAGTTAAAAGAGAAAAAGTCAAGACAGATTTCAGTGTTGCTGGGGTAGGTATTTATTACAGTCTAGAAGAAGTTTTTTCAAGAAGAAGCCTTTTTTTTTTTCAAAAACAAAGATAAACATCTGTCTTTTGTTACAGAAGAAAGCACTATTCAAGATATAATATGCCATTCAACAGGTCTTACTTGTGTAGTTTGATCTTTTTGAAAGTTATTGAAATATGTATCTTTTAGTATAGGAATGTTCATTTATTCGAGATTCAAATTGTGAGCAGCAGTGTGGCCCAGCCAAATACATCTACAACTCAAACCCTAGTCAGACATTACATTTTTGTCAATCTGTGACATTTAAATTAAAGACACAATTTTCTTTTAATCTGATTTTATATGTATATTTGTATGTGTTAAATACATTACATATTTTGATTTTTCTTTCCCCACAGGCTGTGTATGCGAGGGATGCGTTATGTAAGGCGATATACAGTCGACTGTTCTCCTGGCTTGTACAGAGAATTAATGATAGCATTAAAGTAAAAACTGAACAGACCAAGAAAGTCATGGGTGTGCTTGATATTTATGGATTTGAAGTCTTTGAGGTTTGTAAACTTACAGTATTTTGCTTACAGTATTTCACATAGCTTCAAGATACTCATGCTACCAAACAAGTCTTGTGTATTTCTTATTACCATATTTGACAATGCATAGATGAAAGTACATCTTGATTTTGATCTAGTGAAAATGAATTTACATTATGTAAACTCAGTGAAAAAGGATTCAGCCAAATTGTTCATAATTGTGGGACAACAATTTGGTTTTAAGGAGATTTGCCCTTGAAATGTTCAGGCTTGTTTCTAAGTAATTGAAACTTGTTTTCCTCTATATTAATATCTGTGACATCAGATGACTTAACATTGGTCAGTTTCAAGTACTGTGAATTCTATTAATTTTGTGGGCTCAAAATTTCGTAGTTTTGTCACAATGAACATTTTGTGGGTACTTAAATTTGTAAACTATTTATTTTCCAAAAGGTAAAATGTAAATAATGTGATGTAAAATAATCTTACCATGGTAGATTTATAAAAACACCATGGTCATAGTCCTTGATTGTTAATTGCTACACATCCAATTAACAAGGTGTTAAATGAGCCAAACTGGCTGCTATAATGATAAACAAGTTTATATTATATAATTCAGACAAACAGATATGAACAGTTTATCATCAACTATTGTAATGAAAAGCTTCAACAGATCTTCATAGAACTGACACTGAAGGAAGAACAAGAAGAATATATCAGAGAGGTTTGTTTTGTTTAGTTTTTAAGCTCAATTATTTTATTAAAATAATATATTTTTTTGCAATCACCCTTCTGTGATGAATCTGCATCTCGATCATAGATTTAAATATCTTGTAAACTACAAGGTTAAACGCTGCCAAACTTTAGATGGCAAATTAGGCTAAGTAGTTTAAATATGTTCATTTTGTGCTCATGAAAATTTGATGGAATATAGTGGACATAAGTAGGTTTGTTAAAACTCGAGTCAGATGTACGTTTTAAACTTCATACTATTAAGTACTTGTCACCATAAGATGACCTCTTAGACTAAGTTAGATAACTCTGATTTATAATTTATGTATATTATCAAATTTCTGCAAGTATCTTAATACAGCTTGACTATTGTAGATGTATATAAATAATGTAGCAATAAAAAAGTCCCACAATACTGTGTTTTAACCCTTGACCTGCTGAATTTTAGTAATGGATTTTTCCAGACTTGAATTTGGAACAGTCCATTCAAAGTTTAAGGGGTTTCATTATAAAAAAAAAACGAAAGTTGAACTACCAACATAATAGAGCCAGGTCAGACTGCACAGATGTGCAGGATAGCCCGGCTATATAGTTATGGCAGAGACTTACCTTTTTAGCTCACCTGTCACAAAGTGACAGGGTGAGCTTTTGTGATCGCTTTTCGTCCGGCGTCCGTCCGTCGTCCGTCCGTCCGTCGTCCGTCCGTAAACTTTTACTTTAAATGACATCTCCTCATAAACCACTAAGCCAATTTCATCCAAACTTCACAGGAATGTTCCTTTGGTGGTCACCTTTAAAAATTGTTCAAAGAATTTAATTCCATGCAGAACTCTGGTTGCCATGGCAACCGAAAGAAAAAACTTTAAATATCTTCTTTTAAAAAAACCATAAGAGCTAGAGCTTAGATATTTGGCATGAAACATCTTCTAGTGAGTGTCTACCAAGTTTGTTCAAGTAAAAGCCCTGGGGTCAAAATTGGCCCCGCCCCGGGGGGTCATTGATTTTCCCAATATGCATATAGTAAAAAACTTAAAAAATCTTCTTTTAAAGAACCCAAAGAGCTAGAGCTTAGATATTTAGCATGAAACATGTTCTAATGGGTGTCTACCAAGTTTGTTCAAATAAAAGCCCTGGGGTCAAAATTGGCCCCCCCCAGGGGGTCATTGATTTTCCCTATATGCATATAGTAAAAACTTAAAAAAATCTTCTTTTAAAGAACTCAAAGAGCTATGGCTAAGATATTGAGCATCAAACATGTTCTAATAGGTGTCTACCAAGTTTGTTCAAATAAAAGCCCTGGGGTCAAAATTGGCCCCGCCCCAGGGGGTCATTGATTTTCCCTATATGCATATAGTAAAAACTTAAAAAATCTTCTTTTAAAGAACCAAAAGAGTTAGAGCTAAGATATTTAGCATGAAACATGTTCTAATAAATGTCTACCAAGTTTGTTCAAATAAAAGCCTTGGGTCAAAATTGGCCCCACCCCGGGGGGGTTTTTGATTTTCCCTATATGCATATAGTAAAAACTTAAAAAATCTTCTTTTAAAGAACTCAAAGAGCTATGGCTAAGATATTGAGCATCAAACATGTTCTAATAGGTGTCTACCAAGTTTGTTCAAATAAAAGCCCTGGGGTCAAAATTGGCCCCGCCCCAGGGGGTCATTGATTTTCCCTTTATGCATATAGTAAAAACTTAAAAAATCTTCTTTTAAAGAACTCAAAGAGCTATGGCTAAGATATTTAGCATCAAACATGTTCTAATAGGTGACTACCAAGTTTGTTCAAATAAAAGCCCTGGGGTCAAAATTGGCACCGCCCCGGGGGTCATTGATTTTCCTTATATGTGTATAGCAAAAACTTAAAAAATCTTCTTTGAAAAAACCCAAATAGCTAGAGTTAAGATATTAAGCATGAAACATGTTCTAATTGGTGTCTACAAAGTTTGTTCAAATAAAAGACCTGGGGTCAAAATTGGCCCCGCCCCGGGGGTCATTGATTTTCTTTATATGTGTATAGCAAAAACTTAAAATCTTCTTTGAAAAAACCCAAATAGCTAGAGTTTAGATATTAAGCATGAAACATCTTCTAGTAAGTGTCTACAAAGTTTGTTCAAATAAAAGCCCTGGGGTGTTATTGTTTTTAACTATATGTGTATAGTAAAAACTAAAAAAAAATCTTCTTTTAAAAAGACCAATGAGCTAGAGCTTAGATGTTTAGCATGAAACATCTTCTTATGAGTGTCTACCAAGTTTGTGCAAATAAAAGCCCTTGGGTTAAATTGGCCCTGCAACGTTGGGGGGTGGTTAGGGGGGCCTATATACAGGTGAGCGACCTCAGGGCCATCATGTCTATCAAGTTTGTTTAAATAAAAGCCCTGGGCTCAAAATTAAAGATTTTTAAGTCACCTGTCACAAAGTGATGAGTTGAGCTTTTGTGATCTAAATTCGTCTGGCATCCGTCTTAAACTACATCTCCTCATAAACAGTTAACCCAATTTCAACCAAACTGTCACCTTTGAAAATTGTTCAATAAATTGAATTCCGTGCAGAAGTCTAGTTGCCATGGCAATGGAAAGAACAAACTTTAAAATTTTTCTTTGGCTAGAGCCTTAATATTTGGTGTGTATTATTGTCTAGTGGTTCTCTACCAAAATTGTTCAAAGTATCCCACTTGGGTAAAAAATTATGACCCTGACACAGGATCACTGTTCTACATAGACTCATGTAAGAAAAAACTTCTCCAAATCCACTATGCCTATTTAAATATTAGGTGTGTATCATCCTGTAGTCTGTACAAAAGTTGTTGAAATTTTTCCCTTGGGTCAAAAATGTCACCACCCTGGGGGTCACTAGTTTTATTACATAATGTTATATAGTAAATCTTTAAAAATCTTCTTGTCTGATAATGTAGCTTAGGCGTAGTGCTTAGATACTTGGTATAAATCATTATCTATTAGTCCTCTACTGACCTCTAATTATACCCTCACAAACAAAGTTTGGGGGGGGGGAATATAGGAGTCCTTGAACGCATGATATTGAATTTCTAGATTAATCACTAAATCCACTAGATGGATATTCATCAACTTTGGTTTGAAGTATTCTTGCATTTTGTTCCTGCAATTCGTTTAATTTCATAATTTTGTTTGTATCCCTTTAGGGGCTGCCATAGCTAAAAATAGTAAATGAAAATTATTCTTGTAAATTTCTAGATAGATAATTCACTAAATGATAAATATGTTATTTGCTCTCTTTTGTTTCCATATTTGCATATTGATGGGACAGTACAGAGATATTGAATGGCTTACATATTAGTTCATAATCCAATTAACGAAATGAAAAGAAGTGACCAACCTCACCAAAAATGTGCCATTGATGAAAACCTATTTGATAATTATAAATTTAATTTAAATAATCATAAAATCATTCTTACATGATATGTTGATATTTACTCATTTTATGCTTTGTTGATCAGATTTGATCCTAAATTATTCATCAGTGAGTTAAGAGGGTCTCTTACAATGGAAATGTAACCACCTGGCTGATCAGTGATGCTTGTGCTTATATTGTCTTTGTTATACCATTTACTTTTTGATTCAATTGAAAATGTAAAATAAAAGAAATATTCATTATTTTTGCACATATTTTAGTATTAAAAGAGTTTTACAAACATGTATGAAGGTGATTGAAAGAACAATTGTGATAGATATTATTTAAATAAAGTTTAACAGAACATGAACTGTATATCTAAAATAAGTATCTTGTGACTGTCTTCTGTACCAGGTAGGTGTAATAAATTATATTTTTCATAGTATCGTCCCATTGGACACAAACATTTATAGAAGAGACTATTTGAAAGATAACCATAGATAAACAATATTTATTGACAAGACTTTTTGTGAAATAACATTGTGATAACAGAGACAACATATTTGTGATTGTGCATTGTGCTTGTGATATGTGATACATTGTGACACTTATAGTGCTAGTGACATTTAATACCTTGTGACATAAGGTTGTGACACTCTAGTGTTTCTGAAATTACAAAGTGCTTCTGCCACATCGTTGTTTCATTGGAAACTGTTAGAACTGCTCCAGTGGTAGCTTTCCAGCATAGGAAAGGTATGTCTTTGCTAAAATTAATGGGTAAAACAGTAGTAATGAGTTTCAAGGCTGAGTTTGCTTGTTCTTAAAAAGAAAAAAGTCAAGATAAAATTAGCTTTAGACTATTTTATTGATCCTGTTAATTAGTTAATTAATTTCAATTTTATTAATAACAGCTTTATCAGTGTAAGCAAATGTGAATTAAAGCAGCTTAAATCGGGATTTTTAAGCAAATGCCAAATTTTGACAATATCTTTGTAAACTCATTCTGTTAACATGAAAATATGGTTTTTGTGCCTGAACTTTTCTGTTTGCAAAACAAAAAATTTCATGACCTAAACATGTTTTTATGTTGTAAAATCTGTAACAAAGAGCTGTATCTCATCTCTGGCTTATTTATCATTTCAGTTAGACATGCCACTCAGTAAAGCATGGAAGAAGGCAAAGGCCAGGAGGGCAATATTGGTAACGAGGGAGCAGACGTTGGCAGAAGATCCTGATGTAGTCCCTGTCATAAGTCCCGTCATTATTCCGGCAGACAGGGCCCCATCAGCACCTGTCATAGGTCCGGTCATTGTGCCGGCAGACATGGTCGCTGGGGCAACTGATGTAGGTCCAGTCAATTTGACGGCATTCAGAGCCCAAAAAGCACCTGATGTAAGTCTGGTCAGTGCACGAGCTTTCAGGGCGCTTGCAAGTCCGTCCATCAGTACGGCAAACACAAAACAAAACTCAAACAAAACAAATGCTATATATTCCGAAATGGAACAAATATTATCTCAAAACTCAAATTTGAATCAAAGAATATGCAATACATCTTCTGCAATGGAAAAAGAACAAAGCAAACTTGTGAATAAGTCTTACGAGTCATATTGCACTGGTATGCCCTTCA